AAAAAAAAAACTCTAAAACGACGAAAGTCAACAGGACATTTTTCTAAATAGTGAGCAAAAGGGGGTCAGAACTGCAAATTAAGTATCCTTTTCAAATTTTCATGTTCTCGAATCTCGAATAACGTATTTTGGTCAGACTCACACACACACAGTGAGTAATTATCCTTTCAGATCCTCTGTTTCACACACGGCACACCACACAAACATGTCGGGCCCCCAGTGCTGTGAGAACCCACCAACTCTGAGCCCGACCAGTGGAGTCGGCTCTGTTATCGATCTTGCCGGGCTCAAAACCTACGTTTCGGGCCCTTCCGATTCCAAGCTGGCCGTCGTCCTCGCCTCCGACGTTTTCGGTATTCTTCTTCGATTGTTAAACTTCCCTGAATTCTTATGTTTTTGCTGGCTGTTGTCTTTTGTTGTATGAAACAAGAATCATAAATTCCCTTGACGAATTGCAAATTAATACATCAATTAAGACTTTTTGTGCCAACAATCAAGAGTTGTTATTGTCCAGAGCCTACTTTTGACCCTAACTCTTTAGTTGGGAGGAGCTTAGTTATTTCACAAATTCTTGCATAAGGCGGCCTAACTGTTAGAAATTTCAGTTTAATTAGAAGTTTGCATATCTATTGAGTGGCTGTCACATTGTAATTTTTTCACACAAAAAAAAGTGGTTGACAAATGTGAATACAGGGAAATGCTAAGGTCGAACCATTTCGTCGGGATTTGTAACCGTGAGATCATCATGTAACCGTCAGAGATAGTTGATCTAACGGTTACAAACCCAGACGGAATGGTTCCGTAACGGGTGTGTGTGTGTGTGTGTGTGTGTGGGTGGGTGGGTGAACTTTTGAATATTAATTTTTTGAAAGGTTTTAATTGTTTTGCAGGATATGAAGCTCCTAACTTGAGGTATTTATCGTATCCTACTTTCACTGTGAATCATTCTTTAATGAAATGCAATATGGGGTCAGCATATAGTTGATCTTACTTAAGCTTGTCACTAAAGGTCAATTTTTCAAATTTTGATGCAAAGGAAACTAGCTGACAAAGTTGCCGCTGCTGGTTTTTATGTGGTGGTTCCTGATTTCTTCTATGGAGACCCGTACGATCCTACCAATGAAGACAAGCCAATCCTCGTGTGGAAATCACTGCATGAACCAGTTTTGTTTCTCTCTCTTTACTCCACTATTACAATAAGAGAAACTAATCTTCTCTTCTTTGTATTGGAAACTAATCATATTAGATTTTTTTCTTTCTTTATCGAACTTTTCGCAAGCCGTGATTTGTTTTATCTCAATCTATTGATACAAACTCCGTCTTGAGCTTTTCTTATTACCTGTTAAAAGTCCGTCTCTTGAAAATGCAATATGCAAGAAGGAAGTAAATGTTACTGGGATACTTGTAATTCTGAAATATATACAAATTTGTGATCGGGCTTGACGTCGAGGTTATAGTTTATGCATTGTGACTTTGTGTTCATATTCTCCTCATCAGGCTAAAGCCTTTGAGGATGCTAAACCTGTAATTGAAGCTCTGAAGAGTAAAGGCATATCTGCAATTGGTGCTGCGGGATTTTGCTATGGCGGTAAGTTCTTACTCTGAATGTGTTGTTTGTGTTTTGGGATTCGTTTTCGTATGGTTCTTTGTTTTTTTCTTTCTTATTTTTATTTGATATAACTCGGACATTGTTTTTTGCATCAGCAAAGGTGGTTGTGGAACTGAACAAATCCGGGCTTATTCAAGCTGGAGTTATATTGCATCCATCATTTGTTACTGTGGATGATATCAAGGGTATGACATATTCTCAGTACACATCTTGGCCTTTTTATATGTTTTGTATATCTTTTTAGTGACAATTCAAAGTACAAACTTCCGACGCTCGACATAATTACAATAAACAGAAAAGTTTTGACTTGTTATTATTACATTTAATAATAACTTATAATATCGAAACTTTAAAATTAATATTAATAGAAATGTATATGTTTTGCATATGTGGCATAAATTTTTGTAAAACAGATTATTACTATGTAGCGGTTAAGATTATTAGATTTTTGGTGTCTTTTCTGTTTTGTTTTTGCCTTCACAGAGGTTAAGGCCCCGCTATCTATTTTGGGGGCTGAGGTTGACCAGCTCTCACCCCCAGAGCTTGTTAAACAGTTCGAGGAAATCCTATCATCGAAACCTGAGGTATGTCTGTAAATCCTTAGGACAATTAAGTGCATTTATATTTCAATGTTTGAGTTCTATGATTACAAATGCTGGATAATGCTACCCCTTAAAGCGTAGTCTAAAACAACAACAACAACAATAATAATAATATTAATAATAATAATAATTGCTATTATAATTATTATTATTATTATTATTGAGAGGCACTGTATCAAACTCGATATTTTGTAACAAGATCTGAGGTTGTCTTATGTTGTTGACTTTCAGGTTGCCAGCTTTGTGAAAATATTTCCGGGCGTCTCCCATGGATGGACAGTAAGGTACAAATTGGATGACGAGGAAGCTGTGAAATCTGCTGAGGAATCTCATCAAGATATGCTCGATTGGTTTACTAAGTACGTTAAGTAATGTCCGAACCGCCTTTGCAACAGTTAGTGATCGATGTTATTAGTACTTTTTACCGCCATTGTACCCTTGCATTGGCACAATAAACCCCATATCACATATTGGTTGTAAAATACATTCAGACTATAGTAGTTGTATTCGGTGAGACAAAAAGACTTAACAAATTTCATGAAGTTATATGTCTATCTATGTTATTTAGAACATAATTTTGGTTTTCTCTCTCTAAAAAATGCTCCCTCATCTCTCTAGCTTTCTCTCTCTAACCCTTCTTTCCTCCACCTCCCAGCCATCACTCCTTCCTTTTGATTTTCCGATCGACACCACCAGTTAGAGCTCGCCGGGGTCCGCCGCCGCCGGCGGCGTGCCGCCTGTCCTTGGGCTCCCTCTCAAGACAGCTGCATCTTATTTTTCCGCCCCTTTTCCTCCATGGCCTTCCATTCGAGCCCTCAACCTCAGTCCAAGTCGAACTCCGGCGTGGGCTTTCACTTGCAGATTTCCGACGGCTTTCACGATAAACTCATCTCATTGACCAATAACCTCAAAAAAACTTTCAGATTTGCCGTTATATCCCTGAAATCGATAGACACTCGCACAGGACGGTCGATTCCTCATGGCCGAGACAGTAACCTAGCCCCTGCAACACCGCCGTCGCTCGTGGCGGTTCCTTCCTTGATAGACACTGGCCCACCCAACAATTCCGGTTCCCCATCTGATCAAGCTGCCGGCATCCCGTGGCTGGTTCAGTTTGGCTCAATTTCGGCGAGCACATCTCCTATCCCAGAAACCCACCTCGCTGCGACGGTATATCCCAACCTTATCCTTACGTCAGCAGAAATCCCCCCAGCTCAACCATTGGGCCGACCCCAAAGGCCCACCCCTGAAACTGAATTCTATGGGCCGGCCCAGGCCCAACCACTTTCCCTCCCCATTCCTCCTATTCAGCCCACTCCCCTCCTCCAAAACAAACCAAACTCCTTAGGCCCGCAACCTGTATCCACTTCGCACATCCTTGCTGCGGCGGCAACCAACCCAGGCCCCTTGCCGCCGGCCGGCGACCCACCAGCCATTTCCGGCGCCGGCGCCGGCGACGACAATACTCAGAGGGGCGGCCTCCATATTCCGACGGCGCCTCTTCACGCGGGCTGCCCTCCGAATTTTCCGACCGTCCCCCCGACGGAGTTCTCCCAACACGGTCGAATGCATGGCCGACCCCCTGCTGCCATCACCTCATCGACGGTCGGGATCCTAGGCCATGGCCCACCCACGGCATACACCTTGCCACCGGATAATACAACTTTTGTCAACTTTATGGACTTCGTTGCTCGGCCACCTACCACGACCACCCCACCTTCACATCCGGCGAACCTCAGCTCCTCACCTTCCGGAACCCGATCATTTCGAGACGCGCTATCCGCCCCCCCCACCGCCAAACCGGGACCTCAGAACCTCAGTTTGGAGACCTTTCGGGATATGCAGACCGGAACCGTCACCCGCTCCGAGGAGGGCAGGTTCAAGGTTAGTTTCCCTGAGCCCACTGTTATTTCCCTATCTGGGTCGTTGGATAATGCACTCATTTTGAAGTTCTCCTTCACTGTCCCTTTCCTCCGGGACTTATCTGTCGGTTTGGTCAAATTGGGTCTCAAGGGTAGAGTGATACCTAACTTCCTAAATTATAATCATTATTTACTCTTTTTTGATTTGAAAGAGGACTACAACTCGGTTTGGATTAAGACGCATCTCAATATCTTTGGATGTGCTGGTCGGGTGTTTAAATACACCCCGGATTTCTCCTTTGTTGAGGAATCCCCCATAGTTCCGGTGTGGTGCTGCTTCCCGGGTCTTCTACCACATCTTTTCGACCCTTCTGCCCTCTTTTCGATTGCCAGTTGCATTGGCAACCCTATTGAGACTGATGCCGCTACGGCAAATCGTTCGAGGTTATCTGTCGCACGGGTGTGTGTAGAGGTTGACCATAGGGACGAGCTCATCAAGGAAATTGAGCTCGACCAAGCGGGCAAGACCACTATCCAGAAAGTGGTCTACGAGAGAGTTCCACCGTTCTGTTCCCTATGTAGTCATGTAGGACATGGGGCTGCAGAATGCTACACTAAGGGCAACAAGCCCCGACCTGTTCTGCCCCCCCGTCGACTTGTAGCGAGGCGGGGATCTACTATCGCCCCGATGAGCCCTAAGGAGAAGGGCAAGGCCTCGGCCCACGGCCTCGATCCGAAGGGGCAAAAGGGCAAGGGCAAGGTCACCTCTGAGGGCACATTGCCCAAGGAGGTTAACCTCGATAGGCCTAAGGCCAAAACTACAGGCCTTTTCCCCCACCAGTCCCTCCAGTCAGCTCCCATAGCTACCCATTCTCGCTTCTCTGTGCTTGACTCGGAGTCGGAGGAGGAGTTTCACATTTCCTCCGACCATCTGGGAGCATCGACCAGCTCCCCTTTTGACGATGACGATCTATTAGTAGATGAGATAGAGTCTCCCGCCATTCCATTGTGTATCGAGGCCCCCCTTCCTCCTCAGCTCTCATGATCGTAGAGCCCTCCCCCCACCTTACCTCAGTCCCTTGTCCATCAGCTAGACCCCTTCTGACCCTCCCTTCCTCTTCCTCTTCACCCCCCGCTAGTGGGTCTGGTCCTTCTTCCCCTCAGCGCCAGGCACAGAGCTCCGGGGGACTGGAGCACCTTCAGCTCATCCTCCTACCCCAGGAGTTTCCCCCTATACGAGGGGGATTTTTACAGGAGATCCCAGACCTCCGGAGACCACAGACCAGATCGATGACTGCGCAGCTCTCTGCTAGCCGAGTTCTGACCCTACCAGACATACAAACACAGCCTAACCACGGACAGCTCCAGTTAGGCGGTCCCACTGACATTTGACATGTCAGTTACATCGCTTACATGGAATGCCCGTGGTCTGGCTAATAGGACCACCCTTGCTCATGTTAGATCTCTCATACGTGAGCATAACCTTGACTTTGCGGCTTTTTTAGAGCCTATGACTCGTGATCCTTCTTTTGACGTATATTCGCGGCGCCTCGGTTTTCATGCCGGGATGGGAAACACCACTAACAAGATTTGGTTTTTCCACTCGCGTGACTTTACTTGTCAGATCCTTCGAGATACTGATCAAGTCTTGCACGTGAAGCTCTCCGCCGCCCATCTTCCGGAGCCGATCTTCCACACTTTGGTTTACGCCAGCTGTGCGAGGGTTGGTCGCTATGACCTCTGGGACACCATGCGTGAGATTGCTGAGAGTATGGAGGGATTACCGTGGATGATTAGCGGTGATTTCAACATATTCTTGCACCCCGATGAACGCATGGGTGGTATATCGGACCGCTCTGCGGAGATCTTAGATTTCTCGCATGCCGTATCGGATTGTGAGCTCATCGACGCTGGTTATGAAGGGGCTCCCTTTACGTGGGAGAGGGCCGGAGTCAAGGAGAGGCTCGACCGCGCTCTCTACTCAGAGGCGTTGACGAGGGTGTTTGCGACCACGGTTGTGACGCACCTTCCTCGAATTGGATCCGACCATGCCCCCCTTCTGATTCGTTGTCGGTTCTCTATTTCCCCTCGGCGAGCGTCCTTCCGTTTCCAGAACATGTGGGTCCGCCACCATTCTTACTACGATACAGTTAGAGCCTCCTGGCAGCAGGCTACGCACCTCTATGGGATGCGCAACCTGGAGGAGAAGCTCAAGAGACTCCGCCGCGTGTTGAAGCAGTGGAATTGGTCGACCTTTGGTGACATTTCTCAGCGCCTTACTGCAGCCCAGACTGCGTATGCGGAGGCGGAACGGACCTATGATTTGGACTCCTCGCCAGAGAATAGGTCCGATATGCGCCGCTGCCATGCTGAGTACCAGTTGCGTCTCCTCATGGAGGAAGATTTCTGGAAGCAGAAGGCTGCTGTGCGTTGGGTGGCTGAGGGGGAGCGTAATACCAAGTTCTTCCAGGGATTCGTGAGGCAGAAGCGAGTCAAGTCGTATATCCATAGTGTCGAGGATGACGGGTCTTCCGTGACCCAGGAGTCCCAGATACGGGAGTCGGCTAGGGCTTACTTCATCTCTCTCTTCTCCTCTGAGCGGGATTTGCTTACGAACCCCGACCCGGCCCTCTTTCCGACCATCCCGCAGTCGGTCGACCTTGTTGACCTCTGTGACCTCCCGAGTAAGGAGGAAGTCAGGGAGGCTGTGTTTGGGATTGATCCCAACAGCGTCTCCGGACCGGATGGTTTTTCGTCCCTCTTCTTCCAGTCTTGCTGGGAGATTGTGGGTGCTGACGTAGAGGAAGCTGTGAGGGATTTTTTCTCTGGCCACCAGATGCCAGAGTCCTTCACGGCAACCTCCATCATTTTGATCCCGAAGAGATCGGGACCTAGCACTTGGTCTGACTATAGACCTATCAGCTTATGCAACGTGACTAACAAGATTATCTCTAGGATCCTCAACAGTCGTCTCGCTCCCCTCCTCCCCCACCTTGTCTCCCTGAATCAGAGTGGATTCATCAAGGATCGAGTCATTAGTGATAATATCCTACTGGCTCAGGAGATGATACACGACATCTCTCATGCGAATCGAACACGAACCCCGAACCTCGTGCTGAAGCTAGACATGGCCAAAGCATATGATAGGGTCGAGTGGTCGTTTCTCAGAGAGGTACTGGCTCGGATGGGATTCCCCAACCGTTGGATTAGCTTTGTGGAGGCGTGTGTGGAACACTGCACATTCTCCGTTTTGATTAATGGTAGCCCCTCGACCTTTTTCCCCTCTACCCGCGGCCTTCGTCAAGGGGACCCTTTATCCCCCTCCCTTTTTGTTCTGGTGGCTGACTATCTCTCTCGCTGCCTTGACGGCTTCATTCGCGACTTTCCGAGGATGACCTACAGTGAGACATCTGGCCAGCTAGTCAGTGTTAGTAAGAGTTCCTTTATCATGGACCATCACGTTGCTGATCATTGGGCTCACCAGATCCACGAGCGCACTGGTTTTGCTCG